TTAATGAAGGTGAATATCCATTAACAGTTAACTGTGCCGTTACACTGATATATTTACTATAGGCTACCTGTTAAACCACACAGCCACTGCTGTATACTGGACACTGAACGCATCAGGAGGTGTTGCAGCCGTGTGCTGCGGCACGCGCCTCAGGTGTTGATGGCGCGAGACAGTCACTGAAGCAGAAGCATGCACGCACACAGGCGGAGAGGCTATCGCGTGTGCAGGACCACAGACGTCAGTGTGTTGCTCTGAACTTGAAGAGCTTAAACATGGAGCAGAAATAGATTTTTATAAGCTCGATGAATAAAGGCTGCAGTGTTCATATTTTTTTTTTAAATAACGCAAGGACATATAAAATAAAGGGAACATATGCCAACTTTTAGCCACATAAAAAACCTCAATACTTGACTTCAGAGGATTTATTGAAAAGGATATGTGTTCAGACGGTCATAACAGATAATGCTCCTCGAAGGTTTTATCGCTCCTGCATTGATTTCAAATAGTTTCTGACCTTTGCTGTCCATTATAATCATGAAACACGATCATATTGCACTCACGTATAGGCTGGTGTGAACAGAGGCACACCTCACAGTGCCCGAACTGACTGAAGACAGGAAAACCACTCTGGTTTTGGTCCCCTTTTTAGCCTACATTACGCTCAAAGGGTCCAGAATATACAGGATGTGTATTGCAGTAAAAGAAAAAAAGACTCATTTGTGTCCAAAATCAACCGTGAATGAACCTAACTGTTAAGGCTGGTTTAGTTTAGTTTTTCATCTGGCTTTGGTCAGTGTAAACTATCCAAACCTGATCATCCTACTCAGAAGAAGCTGTCGGGATTTTGCTGAATCTTAGGAAATAGGAAGCAGACCAGGAGATGCTGGAGATTTGATGAGTGGATTATAAATCAGTGATAGATGATAAAGTCAATTAGTGTGGCCAATAAAACGGACGATTTTGCAATAAAAGTCATAAGAGGGCACGTTGATACTAAAGATGGACTAAATAAATGGCAGGAAAAAAAGATGTGTCAGAGAGGTGTATGCATGGATTTACCTGAAATCGCCCTGCGTGGTGTTAGTTTAAGAGAAACACGGCTGATATAAGAAATACTAAGGAAATCCAAATGTTCTGCAGCTATTTTATAATGACTGATTGATTAATTAGCATACGTTTGAATTGAAATCACTTGCATGTAAAACTATATAGAACTATAAGAAATAAACAATAATTTGAATCCCAGTTTCAAATTAAAATGAGCTGTTCTATCAGCCCAAGGCGTTTGTTAGGTCTTGACGCGCCACACGGATGATCGGGCAGCTCAACTCACCTCTGTGCATCTCCTCTCCCGATGTGATTCCAACCCAAAAGCACCTTTCTAAAACCACCCTCCTATTCCGTCCATGTCAGGGATCCACCGGGCTCTTCACAAAATCCAACTTTTCTCCGACAACAGTAAATCCATTACGCAGAGGCACGCTCCAACAGAGAGTGTGTGAGAGAGATCTTCTTCTTCTTCTTCTTCTTCTTCAGTGTGTGATCCAGCAGCGAGCCTTTTAGCCAGGCATCATCACCGTGAACAGCCTACAGCCTCCAACACGACCACAGCCGAGATGACATGTGGAGGAGGGAATGATCCAGGACGCGTATCCAAAAGATGCGTATGGATGGATGATGGATGAAGAGCGACTGAGAGAGAGACACACACACACACACAGAAAGAAAGAGAGAGGGAGAGATGGAGGAGGAAGAGGAGGAGGAGGAATGTGCGCCTGTCTGCTCTCCGTCCGTGTCTGAACTAAGAAATGCTCCTGAACGAGGCTCATTTAAGCCGTGGGCGCTGCTTACATCAATGAGCGGCTTGTCATGAGTAGCGTCAAGTAAGAAACCATGACGGATCCCCGTTTCCGGTGTTTCACAATGAAACCTCAATCATAATATAGTCACAACGAGAATGCAGATATTCAAAATAAAATAAAAAGACACAATTTGCACTTGTCAAGATATATTGTGGTTGTCTTTTTCTTCTTTTAATTCTGCCTTCTTATCAATGCCCTTTTCATATTACTGTTTGGAAACATCATGCAAATTAGATGAGCATAATGCGTTTATATAAAAGCTTGACAGCTGCAAGATGCTCCATTCCGAGTATCTTATCACTTATTTCATTCCACACTGTGGGTAACTTAAAATTTGATCAAACAAACTCTCACAATTTGTTTAACATTTCTCTTGAATTTGTTGGATTGTCCAAATCCTTCTAAAAAAAACAACAAAAAAAACATCCAGTGCTGAGGTTATACAATCTGAACTGCATTTGTCAAAAATGTCTTCACTAGTAAAACATAATAAAGTTATAATCGAATGATCAGAATACTAAGGCTGACATGTACATTTATATTACATGGTAGGTATAGAGAACACTATCTTTAAGTGGTGATTATAATCATGGAGAAATGTGAAACAATGAAGTTAAGAATGAAGTTTCAGTTTAGTGGCAATTATTATTGCATTAGTGCATCAAATCTGTTTTCTTTCATTTTGTTGTTATGAAGGCAAAATTCAATAATATGATTAAGGCCCAATACGTTTGTCTTAGTAAGTTTATTGTGAGTATTCTACCGATCGATGGGACTCTGACATAGCAGTACTGCAAGATGAAAAAAATAGTTATTTACCATACAGTTGAAGGTAAAACAGAGTCTATGTTACTCTCCAAGAACTTCTTCAAAGCTCTGTTATTAATTATTTAAGGCCCATGAACTGCACTCATTCTGTGAGAAAACACCGAATGAAACAGAAGTCACAAACCTGCACTGACATAGGCTACTGTGCTTTTATTTCTAAGGGCAAAAGATCTCTCTTCCGGTATTGGCTCACTTTATGTAGCTTCACACAGCTTGTCTACTTGCTGTAACACACTCTTTGCTTTCCATCAGAAATGAGCCTATACACTCATGCACACACACTCATGCACTGAACTATCGGTTATCAATACTGTAACCTCCTGCTTTGCATCAGTAGTGATCTGCTTATAGGCTACAAGCTTAAGACAGGCTTCCTCTCTTCATGCATTATTTAGCAGACTAGCTGCTGAAGTGGGGTGCTGAGCCCAGCGGGGAGCTTATAGGAGCCTCCAGGGGTCCTCTAAAATTAAAGGCAGTTTAATTCCACTGCTGCTGCACTCATTACAAATTTAGATAACAAAAGTACATAAAGGTGATTCTTTTTTGGAGTGTAAATCACCCTCTAGCTTCCCAGCAACAAAATACACAAAAAGATGTTCTTAGAAATAAGTTTCAGGGGAATCATTCCTGTTGATGGGTTTAGGACTTAATTTCTATTTATATATTTCACAATCAACTTCAAGAACAATGCAATATGCCAAAGAGATAATACAAATATTTAAAGCTGCAAGCAGTGCCCAAGTAGATGAATAACATTTGATCTAATGACCTGAAGCTCACATGTTTTAACTAATGATATGCTAATATTCTCATTCTGTACACAGATCTACCTGCAGAATCATTTTGTTTTCATCACTTTGAAGATTTAAATGAAAAAAGACAGCGCCAACTAGAGGTCAGTAACTGTGATTTAAGTATTTGAATTTGCAAATCTGCAAATTTTGGTGAACCTTTTCATTTTTTTCTGTTGTAAACCCCTTAGCAGAGAAAAAAAAAGAAATAAACATTTCTATCAGCTATCACTCAGAAATCTTTGACATGTTTTGACCTGTATAAGAACTTATGGCCATGTATACATTTCCGATAATTATTTTCCTTATTTAAACTTTGGACTGGATATCTCCTGCCCTATAATTAAGTGCATACAAAATAAATTTAAAAAATCCATGTAACCGTTCATGAGCCGCTTCTTTCTGGCTTTGCATCAGGAAATGTTCACTGAGTCAGTTCTACTAACCAAAACCAAATTTAAGTCATAAAATATATATATAAGCCTATACAGTATATAAATGCATATATTTTAAGATTACTTTCTTTGGATTTTTGACTTTGTTTAGATAGGACAGTGTTGAGCTTGAGAGACTACAGCCTCCATATGTGACACTATCTAACCGCTAGGCCATCTACGCCCCAGAAAACGTGTGGATTTGAACTTAAAGGCATAAATTCAAAGATATATGATTTTGGAAAGAATTTGATGAATCACCCTGAAATACATTTTATAACATTAGATCTGCAGCTTCTGTTGATGAACTTCACACAGCTTTATTAAGATCAACGATCTCAGAGGACCTCTCGAAAAAGTATTTTGAGAAAATTGAGAAAAAAGTGAGGCATTTTCAAATTCATAGAGAATAACCACTGGAGCAAAGATCAAGACAAATTGAGAAATTAAATTGATGAAAGAATTATGACTCTAAAGCCATGCTTTATCTAAGAAAACTTGCACCTGCCATTTTTTTTGTCCTTAAGTTTTTTCTGCTCCGACACAGAGATAAAGGAAATGTATAAAAAAGAATACGGAGGTCCTAAGAGGACATGCTTCCATACATGTTATTCACTCTGTTTTCCTGCAATCATTTCCGCTTGTTCTCTTAAGATCTTGACATATTTATCTCATATCCCCAGAATTGGAGAAGCACAAAACAAATCAGTGAAATAGGCATAACTTACCTCATTAAGGCGGACGATATTCACTTGGCGTGTCATGGCCTGGGCAATCACAATAACCAGCCAATTGTTTTGTTTTCTACCAGAAATTATGTAAACAAGCTTTGTTATCTGGAGACAGTGAGATAAATAAGTTGAGATCTTAAGAAAGACAACTGAATTTAACTTGTTACCACGGTACAACCACCTTGAGATGATGAGATAAATTAGTAGAGATCTCCAGAAAACAACCTGAATATGACTCATTATCACAGGAAGTATGAGTAAATAAAATGAATGGATGCATGTCCACTAAGGGCTCCAGTAAAATAAGAAATTGAAGAAGCAGAATAACAAGAAAATGACATTTTAATGCTGCAGTTGTTTTTAAGCAGGAGAAATCTTTATTTTCAAACTCAGTAAGTAAACACATTTAGTAGCTCGAACATTCATTAGCAAATAAAATCCACAGAGCAAAATAAATTACAAACACCCGCAGTTAATCGTTAGTTATAAAGTGCAAACCACTTGGAAAGGCATGAGCTCATTCTCGTTAAAAATGAAGATCTGAACACACTGGAGTGCTTGGCCTGATTAACTATCAAAAGACAACAATAACTGAAACTTAATCTTTAAAAAAAGTGTGGAGTAAAACGCCATGTTCAGCAGGACAAAGTGTCTTTAGATGATCTGCTGAGCCTTCATGCAGCTATATTAGAAATAGAGGGACACAACACAAAACAAAAGCTTTTTTTTGGCACTCCCATGATGCACTGTGATATGATCGACTGAGGAAAACATGAATCTGCACTCAGGCCACCTGAAGACCGTGTTTCATTCTCAGTTAAGTACATGATTGTTGTTATTATGATTCATGTCTGTTTTGGTTCACTTTTCATCAGGTGAGTTTGAACAAATTATTCCGTTTGATTTCCTTACAATCATTTAGATTAAAAATAAGATGTGACATAAACTAGACAATGTACAGTAACACACATGGACTTCAAGTAACGTTTCACATTTAACACTTTGTGCCAAGAGTGCTTTCCTTCCAGTGAATTAACACAGCTCATCATTTTGCAGTAATTATTGGGCGCTTCAACAGAAATCAGCGTGGTTTTGCCAAAGGAATACTTTAATAACACGGCTGGAGATCATGCAGTCCGTCCACAGAAAGCCCTGCTTTAAACTCCTGAGTGATCCCCATCAGGATTTCTCTCCGCGTCTCCATGGCCTTGTTACAGCTCCTGTACTTCTAACACTGGAATGAATTAATGAAACGCAACATCAATATTTCACATCGGACTGGAGGACGGCAAAATATCTAAAAGAAACATTTTAGGGCGAATGAGGAATCCATTTATTGGCCCTTAAAACGTGTGAGTGAAAAAGTTGTGTGTGTGAGGGCGAGGGGCAAAAGGCGGACGAGGACAGGAGACGATGATCTCCCATCATGCAGTTCTCTTCCATTACATGGCGTCGAAGTGGAAACGGTGGGCTTCCTGCCTCTTCTCTCGGTCGTCTGCTTTCTAAAAGACACACAAAGTCAAACAAAGACAGTCAGCTTTTGAACTGTTTTTTGGTCTAACAAAATCAGTAACAAGCTCCTTTAAATACTCTGAAGGGACTGAAGCACAGGAGAAGAGAAGTTCTCCTTTAACACCAGTGACAAACATATCCACATGATTTATTTTGACACTTCTGTGTGAAAGGAACATAGAACAAACGAGGACTAAGACATTACAGTATAATCAGTGGAAAGTAAAAGTCAATAGATAAATCAAATAAACACAGTACACAGTGCACACAGAGGCCGTCAGACATACAGAAAAATCTTTGTGTTTCTGTCAATCCCTTTATTCCCAGAATTCATCACCCATCTTTAAAAGCCACAGGGTACATGAAAATGTACAGGTCTGAATTCTTTTCATGTGTGAAAAGAGATCAGGGGCCGTATTCACGAAGCCTCCTGGGTACGAAGAGTCACTCCTATTGACAAATTTCTGAGAAGATTCTTACAATCGTGACATTTTCTAAGAATTCCCACTTAAAGTTAAGACTAGATCTTTGTTACAAAGCTTTTTAGCCTTTAAGAGAGCTCCATAGGTGTTAAACTGTTGGAGGAGTAAAAAGGACTGTTAATGGTCTTAAGAGTTTCTCAAGCGGAGGAGAAAATAAAGAAAATGTCCTGATTCTAACATTTTTCTGAGGATTTTGTCACTAGGAGGAACTCTAAGTATTTAGGAGGCTTCGTGAATACTGTGTTTTATCTGTATGAAATGCTAACATATGAACAGGACCAAAAATCATTTGCATGCAGAAATCTCACTTAATTCCATCCAGCAGAAACACTGTGAGCCGCTAATTTGGATTTCTGATTGCGAGTGATGATAAAAAATGATTTAGATTCTTCCAGCAGAAATCTCCTATTTGTAACATCCTGTGTGTGCTGCACAGGCATTTCATATTAATCTGAATTTAATTATCGTAATATTCAATAAAAAGCCTAAAATCTGTGAAGAAAGAACACAGCTTGTTAGAAACTGAATGAGGTAAAATGAGTTCTTTACTATTATTACACAGAGGGGGCCAGTAGACAGTCAATACTCACACCTCCAGAAGAGACCAGTCTGATTCTCTCAGGTTCTACTAATCATAGGTTTGTGTTTGAATAAAACAAACAGATTTGTGTTCCTTGTATAAACATTACTTTAACTTGTTAAGATAACAAAAAGATGCAGAATATGTCAAACAACAGGAAATGAAAAGAACACAAGTTCATATTCATTTTTAAAAAACACAATACTAAAGTTTTAATTTAGGAAGACAAAACAAGTCCATTTTTTGGGGTATGAGTACATTGAATGAAAGAATCATACTGTTATTGCCCCTCGGGGTATAAAGACGTCAAAACCTTAAACCAGACAGCACATAAAAACAAAAGCATCAGCAGAGGGTCTGCTCTAATCTGGTGGGTTATGTCCACGGTCATGTCAGGTAAGAAATGCTGCACATCTGCTTCCCAGTTATCCTGCTGCCTAGTTTAACAACCATGCAGTGTGTTTCTATTTGTACAGACAATGCCCCCTCCTCCCCCTTAACCCCCCTCTTAATACTAAAGGTCAACACACAAAATAATTTCAACATAGTACCGTCAACACTAAAACTTCTAGGTTTCAGGAAGTAGAGGCGCTATTGAGCATTTGCAAATCTTGCATTGGTGTTGGCGTTCCTTGTCAGTTTGTTGTCGATAATTGAGTCAAGATATCAGTACTCGAGTCCTGCACAATTGTTGTGTCGTTCATAATTACAGGGGAGGGAGAGGAATGTCTTTGAAAATCAATAATCATTGTTCTTTGTGTTTAAATCAGTAAGTTATCTATCTCAGCTCTTGATTAGATCAGTGTTTTGGCAGTCCACATATCACAGACATTTTGGATATTTGTTTAGGGGTTATGGGTTGATTTCATAGTTTGTGTGTTTGTGTTTCTGGCTGACCATGAAGACTAAACATTGCCCATGTGAAAGATGGACAGGTGAACTCTGGAGCAGTCTACAGTCTGCAGATCTGTGGGTAAAGAAAAAAATCTTCCAGTGTCAAAACATCCCGTCTTAAGTGTGTTTGTGTGAGTGAACTATAAAACATTCTGCTCTGAACAAACAAACTGTGCCTTTTCCCCTTAACCTTGTAATATACGAGACAACACCTGTGCTGTTACCATGGAAACTAAAGTATGCAGATCAAAGATGGTGACAGCTGTAGCCCCCTGAATGCTTCGAGGATGAAAATTAAAAATGTATGACAAAAAGAGGCTAAAATCACAATGCCAAAATCACCCCGGTTGTGAGCACACCGCGTTTACTCTGAAACCTACAGCTAAGAAAACAACCGTGATTTCAATGTTCAAGCTGCAGTTTATCATTCAGGGATCACTTTAGGATGGAGCAGCATTATTTTCCCATCACTCAGGATCAAAGTGAACACTGTCAAAGAGATAAAAACCTGCTGCCATGGTGTCCTTACTCACTAATCCTAAAGCTTATTATGCTCAAAAAGTCCTCATGAAAGAAAAATACGGTGAACTTTGTCATTTAATTACAACATTTTTGCAACACAAAACAAGACAATTAGTTGAATGCGACTCCTTAATGAGAAGTTAACCTTTAAATATTCAATTGGAGCTCAACAGGTAGAAACAATACAATTACCTCCATTATCTATGATCTTTGCAAATTTCCTACTCATACAGTCTCAGGAGAAATATCAATGTAACTAGCTAGGATCACCATACAAACAAACACAGCTTCAGTCCTTGTATACATAAGGAAAGGCCTTCTAAGGACGTTTATAAAGGGATAATAAGTGTGTATTTATAGTCAGCAGTCTAGTATCATCATCTGGGCATCAGAGCACACAGGCAGGTGTGAGGGCTGCAGGCGGCAGAGGAAAAGTCGAGCTGAGAGCAGCCTGACAGACGTGCAAGATGTCACCGAAAACATAAGTAGGAGAGCAAGATAAGAGGCCATTCATAAAATGCACCTTCTACCTCAAATCTGGAGTTTTGAGAACAGAGGTGGATGATGGATTTTTGCTGGGTGTTATTCCTTAAGCGATAACATTTGAATTGTAATTAGTTTGAATCTTAAACGGCTCACAGAAGAACAGAAATCATTGGGATGAGGTTGGATGAGGCCCAGGATTAAATGAATGAAGCAAAGTCAGCATTCCTTTGGCTATCAGACAGCAGTTTGGCACATGAGAAATTAAAAAAAGAGACTCAGTCGTCTGGACTGGTGCAACACGTTCTCACTCCACACTCATCAAATACAGCAGCTTGGTTTGTGCTTAATGAGATTTAAAAATGATGATCTATGCTCCACTTTATTTTGTCAGTTTGGCAAACAGGATCCGTTTATTTGATGACTTGGGAGCATAGATTATATAAAACATGGACGTAGGCTCATTGGTTCAAACATCAGTTTCTGAAGAGGCAAATGAAGCCCAACAACGACGGTCACCATTTATTTAGAGATAGGACAGTAAATAGAGTTTGAAACCGGGAGAGAGAGAGAGAGTTGGGAACAACATGCCTCAGGTCGGACTCGAGCCCACCTGGAGGACTACAGCCTCCGTACATGGGGCGTGCGCACGAACCACTAGGCTACTGGCGCCCCCAAAATGGATGACTTGTCCAGTTTTAAACAATAAAGTGACGAGCTGAGAAGACCAAAGCTGTAAACATGTTTATTTCTGCTGTAAAGATTTGAACATGGGACCTAATGGGACCTTGCAGACAGCCTCAAGTGGACACTCGAGGAACAGCAGTTTTTTGCACTTCTGCATTTTTCACCACCCTCGGTTGCCACTTGCTTGGGAGTGAGATTATGTAAAGATTAATTCATTTAAGTTGAATGTAACATGCCTGTTGTCAATTCCTCAACACTTTGTTTAAAAGTAGCAGCAGAGCAGCTCATATTCATTAGAGAGACCTCTTGACAAGTCTGTCTTATTTTAATGAACAGCCAATCCTTCACTCATGTTGACTAAACTGCAGCAACCAAAAGATGGGCAGAAACACATTTACTGCATTTTTTATCCTGTCAGCTTTGATTTCTAATAACGCCCTCATCTATCTTCTAAGATACCAACGCCTCAAACTGATCGACGTTCAGCTTTTTTTTAGAAAAACATTTAAGGCGTGGATGGATTGATTTCTGATCCATTCATCTGGATAACCAATCCACTGGGCTGTGATGCTGTTGAAGCCTTTTCTAATTGCGTATCCAGGGGATACCACTAAATTGCCATTGTGAGGCCTGAATCATCATTAAGCAGCGGGGCATTGATTTGTGTCCATCTAGAGGTGCAGCGTGTTTGTCTGAAAACAGGTGAAAGCCAAAGTGGGGGATTTTGAGGTCTCATAGGGCTTTAATGTCAACTAATTAAGTCTGGCATACACGACCTGCGTGATAATGATGCATCCTCGGTTCAAAGATGGATTTCGTTCTGCTACTTCAAAAGTTTTTCACTGATGGAAACCACAGGGGAAAGCTTGGACATTTGGAGCCAAGGCTGACTAACCAAAGACTGCAGTTCCTCCTATGGTCAATAGAGGCTGACTCAAAAAAGGAGTTAGCCTCTCGTCGTGGCTGGCTGAAGTTAATGGGCCTGCTCTCCCAGCTCTACTACCCGGATGCAAACCGGCACAGAGGACAAGTGGCATCTGGTACATAATTACTCGACTGGACCGATGCGTAACCACAATCAGCACAGACATGAAGGCTGGTGATGCTAGCACTGTTAACGTTAGCCACACTTGGCAAACCAATCTGACATTGTTTAGCCTCAGAATAATGTATGTCGCATTTTAACAGCATTTGAGATTAGCTGTCAATTCATTGTTGAAGAGTGTGATGAACTGTTTTAAATGAAAGTATAACAGGCAACACACAATATGGTTTTTGGACAGTGTTAAAGAAATTGCGACCTCTTCTGAGTGTTTTCTAACCTTTAAACTAGTCGACTAGTCTGAATTGAAATTTCTGTCTAATCAACAGGGAAACAAGTCGCTAGGAACAGCTCTCATGCTAAAGCCTCACTCCTCTTAAGCTACACGCTGAAGTCCATACAATGCCTAGTGTACAAACCAATGTGTCATGATGGATATGTGCCCCATCTTGTAGTCCATGGTTTTATCATCTGTCTTTATTAATCTGTTCTTACCACCTTAGTGTCATATGAATATTTCAGTTTAATCTGCATAATGTCCCAGCTCATTACCCAGCCTACAATGAGGTTCAGTGGAGTGTTGTAGAAGTCCTGTTAGCTTGTTAGGCGAGGAGAACATGTCTTTGCCCCATTGCCACTGCCCTCCACCTGACTTTGTTATTAGAAGAGCAAATACCAGGGGCGGCAGTGCTAACACACAGAAATGCCAAATGTCAATCAGCCGGCTTGACCTGACCTTACAGAGCACCGCCTCCTTAAAAGACGACGAGACATGGGGGAGCATTTTAGTGACCCCCTTCACAGGATCCAACCTCACTCTTAATTCCCTGGACGGTGTAGGAGGTTAAATCAGATTAGGCGGGTGTGTCTTTTAGTTTAAAGGCCAGCTGAGCATTGAAATAAAAATCAAACTGCTCGATGCTGTTAGCCTGAACACAGTGCTGCACTATGTCTTCTTGACAGGCCTGATGTAGACAAAACTGCTGCAGCACAGTTTGGACCAACACAGTTTGACTGATTGAAGGAGAAACATTTTGACTCATGTTAAAAATTCTTCTGTTACGGTTAATAAACGGCCATACAAAAAGACTGTAACTCTGAGAATACTCAAGTGGTGAAATATCACATTCTCCCTCAGAGTAGATCACAGCACACAGGAGCTCTATGAGCAGAAATGATGGAATGAATCCAAACGAGGTCAATAAAAGACATGAAAATTATTACAGCTAGGGCAGGAGGTTTTTCAGGAGCCTTGTTCTGTACACACAAGTGTCATTCAGCTTCTGGCTTGACTTTCCGTCGGAATCCTCTAAGACTTGATGGGCAATACACTCCTTTATCCTCATGAGCAAGAGGGTCAATGTGGTGACATAGTTAAAATATAAAGCTAAGGAGCATTTTGGTGAGAACATTTGAACACTGGTCTTTAAAATCTGTTTGGATTGCTGCTTTAAGGAACAGAGGCTGGGGAATATGCTTTGTAGAAACCTGAGAATTTATTAAGCTGTTTGAATATATTGTGTTTTGGTTTCATGAGTCAGTGTTAAATGTACATTCCGTAACAGTAGCACATTTTTGTGATGCAGAATCCCAATGACAAATATCCAGAAGTTGTTGCAGCTCTGATTAAACCCTGACTGGTAAATTTTTTAATAGCAGCAGGGCTCAAAATGGATTTAAATAAAAGGACTGGCCTTGAGATACACATAAGACATCATTCAATTATCCAGATGACTGCTGTATTTCTGCAATGAGGAGCTTAGAGGAGAACGCTAAAAGAACAGTTTCACACGAGTGATCTCTGGAAAAATACTTAAGGAAAACACCAGGAAAACACCACCTCTCGTCAGCGAACACAGCAGTATTAAAGTTAATGTTAAGAGTTCACCCACCAAGAACCAGGACTCATCTTTTTAAATGAACTTCTAATGTGTGTTTGTATGTGTTTGCTTGACCTGTGTGTAATGTTGCTGTGTTTGTTAGTTTGATTTAATCAATTTTATTTTTTATTTTAGATACTTTATATTATTTCGAGGGGAAATTCTGGTTCTACACTCCTTTATTGAGAGTCATGCTTCTCACACACAAAAGTCTGAACAAACAGAAACACATATGAACAAACAGGACCTGGGGCTGCTATACACACTGTAACACAGGGAGCACACCAGAGCTGTTGGGGGTTTGGTGCCTTGCTCAAGGGCACCTCAGTACTCAGGAAGTGACTTGGCACCACTGTAGCCACCAGACCAACTTTCACACTTTTGTCCCCACCAGGACTTGAACCGGTGAGCCTATGGTTTCCAACCCAAGTCCCTACAGACTTGGGTACTAATGTACGGTGTATACGAGCACCTGAAAAGAGCTAAGTAAATAAAATGTATCATTTATTTATTTATTGTGTCAAACCCAAATGAAATCAGGTCAAACAAGTCAAGAGTCATGTATGACCTGCTGGATGCAGGTTTATCATCTCCACACAGCCGGACATAAAAACATTTACAGGGGACAACTTTCTGAAACTTTCAACACACATCACTGTCGTGTTTAACAATATAATTAAAACCGCTGAATGAATGAAGTCATATGTTGTCTGGAAACAGACCAACAAGCTCAGCTTAAGTTAGTGACAGCTTAGCTTCTAGCCCCAAAAGCCTCGGCGAGTAGCGTTGGAAAGTGACCAAGTTCTTCTGTGTCAAACGGCTTTATCATCGTTTTATCATTTTATTTAGCAGGTTTGTTTTCTTTGTAGTGGGCTGATCTCTGCAGATAATCCAGGTCTTAGTAACAATATTATGATATCTGAATACTAAAGGAATCTCTGACAAACGGAAATGCCACAAATACTGAACATGTCTTTTGGCTTAAATCACATGGTCTGCTTGTTTTGGAGTGAAAGAGACCCAGTTGGATTCTCCTGATAAAAATCTCTCAAGCAATGAACACTGAAGGGTTGTTAAGTTTTTCTTTCTCTTGCTCCGACATTGCTCTGTGTACAATGAGTAAAGCAAAGGAAAAATAACTGTGCAGTGTTTAGACTGACAACATGAGAGTCAGGGTCTTCTTCACTGAGGATGTCGACAGGCTAGCCAGCATTAACCCATCACAGTGTTGAAGGCAAATATGCTTTGTTGTACTATGAATTTTCCTAACATGTTGATTGATTCCTGCAATTTGATTTGATTTGACTCAAAGTATCGTGTCAGCCACTGCATTTGTGAAGGAATGGTAGTTCAAGTCTTTATTTCCCTACCTCTTCCTGTCTTGTTTTTCAGCACTCATAAAGCTCTAAATAGGCCACACCCCAACACACACACAGATACAAATATATCCTCCCGTCCACCTGAGCCTGCTAGGTGCACGCAGGCACTGATTTTAGGCACCAGCCATGTTTTTTTCATTTTTAAGTGCAGCATCGGTTCGAATAAGGCTGATGCTCACGCCCACATCTCCCAAAAAACAGGGCAATTAAAGCGCTTCTGTGTGTGTAATCATGCACACATGTAGACTCGCGCACACATACAGGCACACATTAGGAGCACACACTCGCACGGCAGATGGCTTGGAGAGGATGCCAACAACTGACTGCTCCGCTCAGCCCTGCAGACAGCATTACCACCGTGTGTGCTGACGAAAAGGGAACCAAATGACCAAAAATGAAGGACATTTGTGAGAATTATTGTAAAACACAGAGTCTGTGGGACCTCATCAGGCTCCTTTGTGTGTGTATGTGTGTGTGTGTGTGTGTGTGTGTGATAGAAATGAAGAGCAAACCAGGACGAGCTGAAGCACAAAACAAGCGTGAAAACATGCATGGAGTCCCTAGAGGGCATATTTACGGCGGTAATGAACAGCAGATCTGCCATACTGAAAGGACAGAAGCAGCAATTACAGCTGAACGTCCTTCCAGGTTATGGCCTGCAGAGAGAGAGAGAGAGAGAGAGAGAGAGAAAACAAAGGGTGTGTGTGTGTGTTTGTGTGTGTGTGTCTCTGTGGGAGGCTAGAGGACTTAAGGACAGGGGCAGTGAGACCCATCTGCTGCGGGTTGTGACCAATCTGCTCTTTCTTGCAAACACAAACTCTGAAGCAGTAAATCACCAGGAAGAGGCCAACTTTAACTACATCGGTATATTTGTGAGCTGACCAAATGTTAGTCAATAAAAAGAGTGCAAGTCAACTTAGTTTTCATTGGTCTCGAAGACATTGAAAACACAACCCATTTAACTCTGTTCAGTTAGATCTGTACTGTCACAGACTACGGCCCCGTTTACACCACACCAATTTCATCCAAAAACAGCAACCTTTTGTTGTGTTTTGGCTGTTCGTTTAAATAAAGTCAGAGTCTTGAGTGCCTGAAAACACAAGATTTTAAAACGGGACCCAGAGTGCAAATTATCTATGTTCCCACGTAAACCTGTTAAAACACTGTGCTTTCTGAAAACAGACTTACACACATTGCGGTTACAAACCATAGCAGCGCGCGAGTACGTGGACTACAACAAGAATGGTGGACTCCCGAGTTCTGTTTGTGCTGCTCACTCCAAGTTAACATTTTCTCGTTTTCTTGAAATTTACTGGCTTTGTAGTTTATGATCAGTTGGAGTTACAACCCCACCTCATCGTTAGCCATTTCTGTATTTCTGTACCTGACCCCTCTGAGGAAGAATGTACGTGCTCATGCGCGGGTTGCTTCATTAGTAAGTCACACCATCAACTACTGGCCTGATTTGGCAGTGGCAGTGATTTCCATCATTTCAGCCCTCAGTCGATTTTCTGATTCCCTCCTACGTACAGATTTAGATAATATGAATCTGCTCCAACTCATGACTTTGAGTCAACTGGGAAAATCTTAAGTTGAGGGGAGCCCCATTTATGTCTGTGTGTGTGTGTGTGTGTGTGTGTTTGTGTCTTTCTTGACCTTTTCTTGCCAGTGGAGGATGCCAATAATGACGAGGATGAAGACACACACTCCGATCAGTGCGATAGCCGTCAGCAGAACGCTGTTGCTGGGAGTCAGGTACAACTTGGCACTCCAACTAAGGACAGACAAAGAAAAAGAGAGAGAGAGAGGGAGAGAGACAGAGAGAGAAAACACAAGTGTGCCAAATGTTGTTTTATGTTTCATCCAGTTTTCATTGACAGAAAAAAACAAATGGTGCGCAAAGACTGTGTCCTAATTAAGTTTAAAAAAATAAATGAGAATCTTTTTCACTTTTTGTGACATTTAAACAGAATGAAGAGCTGTACTGTTCCCCCTCATTTCCAAGAACATTTACGTATTTCAAGCAATTCAAACACTTTCATACATTAAATTTACCATCTCACAATCTGTTAGCTCTGAGTGTATGTGAGAAGAATACAAAGAAACTCTGTGTTTACTGGTGAAATTACATTTCACTCATGGTGTGTATGTGTGTGTGTGTGTGTGTGTGTGTGTGCTGTCATGTCTGGCAAGCCTGGCAGGTACACAAGTGTATATGGAGGAGGATACATGTGTTATTGTGTGTGTGTGTGTGTGTGTGTGTGTGTGTGTGTGTGTGTGTGTGTGTGTGTGTGTGTGTGTGTGTGTGCGCCATCTGGAGCTCCTTCTGGGCTTTGAGCTACATGTGAACAGCGTCATGATAACATGAGAACACACGCTGTGAGGTGAGAGTCTGTTCTGTGTGTGTGTGTGTGTGTGTGTGTGTGTGTGTGTGTGTGTGTGTGTGTGTCTGTAATGTGCGATGCTTTCTGCAACATTAACTTGAATATGCCGTTAAAGTGGCATCAGATGAGGTGCTGTGAAGAAGCGGGCAATTTCGATGCGTCTTGTGCATCATAGTGTGAGTGTTTCTGTACCTGCGGGGGTTATTGTGTGGGAAGGGGATGACGATGAGCTGAGAGTTAGGAATGATTGCCGTCCACTCCTTCTTCCTTATGGCCTGGAAAGATGCAGAAACACATTAACTGGGTATGCGCATAAATAGTAATACATTAGGGTCACAGCATATGCAATCACATGCAGATGTCCACACACACACGCACACGCACGCACACGCACGCACGCACACACACAGTCAAAATATGTATGTTAAGTCCTGTGGGGCAGAATAATAGGGTCCTGTGGAAATGCTATTTTAAGCTGTGCATTTAAGACAAAGACAAGTTGCTTCTCGAAACAAATTACCCTGACTGTGGGGAGCAGCACAGATTTCCTAACCCGTGTGTGTGTGTGTGTATTTCTGTGAGCGAATTCAGCCATCCGCTGAAAAAAGTCTTAATCTCAGTCTGTGTCTGTATGAAATATACATAGCCTTTTCTCGTGCTATAACTTTACTCGTCATAGCATGACTGAGGTCTGCTTTGAAGACATAAATCATGAGAGGAAACTGGAACAGCTGCTGAGTGTTAGCACAATAAGAAAGAGTACATACAAACTAGGGCTGGGCAATATGGGCCAAAACTCATATCTTGATATTGATTAGCTGAATGGTGATGAGAGATGAGAAAATGATGACCTGGCACCTCTGTAACGTTATTTTAATGCAACATAAACTTTATTGATAATAACGATATTCCCTTACTCTATATCTTGTTTGAAAATATATCAATATATCTTAAAAACTCCATATATTTCCCAGCCCTAATACAAACTAGAGATGTTCCAATAGTATTTTCAACTTCTTAAATCTGATGAAATACTTCGACTTGAGGATAAGTGTCGATTAAGCTGCTGAAACCAGTGCATACAATACATTCTACTTCTTTAAATAAATATTTTTAAGTCTTAGAAACACTGACCCTTGGTGGATAGAGGTTTTACAGTTATATGGCCAATCCTAACTTAACAAAGAGCACCTACACTGACTTGAATTATTAAAAGTCTGTATGTGATTTATCTTTAAGCATCCACAAAAATCTGAGTGAAAATAAACATTCATAACAAGTAGAAAACCTTAAAAACAGCTTAGGTCATTTCTCTGGGCTGTGTGGGCGTGGCAGCTCATATATATGTCATTCAAAATCCCCCCCCCCCCCCCATTCATTCTGTTTTGCAAAAATCCGACTCACTGCTCAAAGCATCCTGGGATATCTGGGTGCTTCACTGTCTGGAAAATAAACTTTGTGGAGTGTTGGTTTGATTGAACAGAAACTTTAAAAATCAAGACGAGTGACTCTAGGCAAAGTGTTGACTTTCAGTGGGCAGGCGCAGGGAGGCAGGACCGGATTGATTGCAAGACAAGCTGTCATCCAAACTGGTCCATGTGCAGCCAGGAACACCACACACAAACATGAAAGCTGAACAGTAGAAGCAGAGTAGTTTTGTTGCTCTTGATTGGGCCAGTCATGCGTGTATGTTTTCATTATTGGTTAGAAATGTATTGCGTAATAAATCTCAGAGCTAACACGGTCCACTTAAAGGCTTTATATGTGATTTTTCACACTTAAATGTAATAGAAATCAAGTATATCCTCTGAAAATAACTCTGTGAGTCATGACTGTCTATAATGGGTGTAACACCCTTTCAGAGTTTTCAGAGTCCTATCTTCAGTTTGTTGACATCGTTAGGACAGCGGCTGACTCCTCCCCTCGTGTATAAAAGTTGTTTAATTGAGGGACTAGAGAAAAGAAGAATAACATACTGTACTCACTGCTTAACTGTGTTTCTAGATCACGCTCATTTCAGGTACATTTACATGCAGTGTGAAGATACGAGCATAATAAAGATCACTAGCATTAGCATGCTAACACAACAATGCTCAAGGGCGACACCTATTGGATTAAAAAATCGCATATAAAGCCTTTAACACCCAACGTCTGGAAATGTTCAAAAACTTAAAAGACAAAATCTAAAAAAAAAAACATTTGAAGGTTACTTCTAATACTCTTAGAAAGTTGATATCATGTACATATGATCTTAATTTACATAGTAAGAAGCTTTTTTTGGTTATGGACTTCCAGGGGCTTTAACCTAGATATCATCAAAACAGATAAAAAAATTACAACACAGTTTTTACCTCAAAATAAATCGGCTATAGACACTAAAACTGTTTTCTGAACCAGACTATAAACACATTTATTTCTGCAGTAAAAATGGGCATTTTAATATGAGGCTTAATGGGAACTCCTTGGCTTTTGTAGCATTGGCTTCAATTTTCACGACCATAGTTTGCCACCTGGTTGTCAGGCCAAACATGTCAAATAGTAAAGCTCGTTCACATCTCTTTGGCATCTTATTTGGACACAAAATAGTGTCTGTTATAACTCTGTTTATCATGTGGTAAGGATGTGCTTATAAGGTTTAGGCAATGAAAGAAATTGGTTTTGGTTGTGAAAAACATCATGGGGCAAATAACAACAATAAAATAATGGATAGGTTTCATATTTATGTTTTCATGCTCGCAAAGCTGCCTGCTATTCAAAATCCTTTGTCCCCTCTCCGATCAGACTACTGAATGATCCAGAGGATTTAAACAGTTTGACCCTAGTCAGATTAATATAAGTTGTTTGAACTGAATTGTATTGTTCATGTCACTCATCCATCATGCTTACCACCAGCCCAAGCTGACTTTGCTGCAACATCACTAGGAGCTGTTTCTAAATGTGCATGGGATGTGTTGACATTACTTACAGATGAAAGTGTAAGGCATCTCATTCAGATGCAGACAGGTAATCTGTGTGTGTGCATGAAACACCAAAGGCTTTAGAAAAATATCTGTCACTGCTCAGGCATGTACGATAAGCCCCTTCAGGCACACCCGATCAACCCAGTCTAGTAATAGTTCTGGTTTTTAAATGTCCATTTGGCTGAATGTTTCATATTTCTCTCATTTCCAGTCCTCCTTCTGTTTCAGTTTATACCATAGACTGTGTATGAAAAAGATGGACAAAACCCCAGCCCCCCGTCAAAGTGAAGCCAAAGGATTTAGAGCCCTCCCTACTGACTGGCTTCAGTACAGGTCATTAACCCCCACCTCGTCCATCTTAACAGATCAGACATGGGGCAAACTCTAAAATGAAAGTACATGTCAGACTTCTGTAGTAATGGTTATTACACCAATTTATGAATTTCAGTTTTAAATAAGTAATTCATTGCAAAAAAGGGGTGACTAAATGCATTTCTACCAGAGCAGCAGCAGCAGCAGATGAGAGATGGCAGCTCGATCCTATGGACGGAGTGAGGGGATGCATATACAAGAGCAGCTGAAGTCAAGAGCAGTTGGAGGTTTGGTCCCTTGCTCAAGGTGCTCAGGAAGTGAATTTCCAGACTTTGGACTTAAACCGTTGACCCTTCATTTTTCAAACCCAAGTCCCTGCAGACGGAGCTACTATCACTAACTAACGCAGGAGTCACTGTCAATGCTGCTGTTTCATTGGTAAGTTAAATGCGTGTTTGGTTAGCGGAAGGGCTAGGGCATCAATTATGTGACTCCACCAGCCGGATCCCTTCTGCATATGTTCTGGCTCCAAATTCAAAGAGATGGAGAAGTGACGTCCATATTTATATACAATCAATGGTTTTAATCCTGAGCTGTTCATGTGGACAGGCGGTGAGAAAAAGAACACGAGTTCAAATTACAGTGAGTTTAAAAACATTAGCTAGCAGCACTGTTTCTGACAGCAGTTTGACATTGCAAAGTTAAAGTTTCATTTTTAGCAGTTAGCTGCCTTAGGGATCAGCAGCGACTGACACGGACTGCTTTTAACCTCTGTATGCAACAGTGCTTTCATTTCTCGAGCAGCCCAAATCTCCATCAGATACCGCTCTCGTCTTTCGCTGAGTCCACTTTTGGCTTGTGTGGTGACTCAGTTATCCGAGGTGACGCTCAGGCTGATTAGGGGTCGAGAGTTCAGCTATATTAACAGAGGAGGCATCGACTTAATGATTTAAAAAGCTGTAATCTCGCTCGTATCTGTAGGGAATAAACATTTCCCAGTTCGGCATGTGACAGAATCTGGAAGCGACGCTGCTCTTTAAATGTCGCTCGCTCTCTCTTCATCAACTGGGAGGAACCACATCTCGCAGCTATTTTGAATGAGCTTGCCACAACGGCGATGCTTTTTTAACATAACGAACACATTCCCGCCCGCCAGCCATTGTCGCTTAGCTCTTGGAAAGCGCTGCCGTCAGTGCAGCAAGTGGCGGGGGAGCAGAACTGGAGACAAGTCAGCCTCCGCCGCGGCTGCCTGGGAGCAGATCGGATCTGGCTGTTTGGAAGAGAAAAGTGTTCCCAAGTCTTCAGAGGGAAAGAGAGACACTCTGGTTCAAAGCCAGGGAAAACTGGCACACTAGGAGAGAGAGAGAGAGAGGCAGACGGATACAGAGATGGAGGCTGAGGAAGACAGAGAGAGAGAGTGAGAGTGACAAGTAGGGGACTGATTAGTGAAGCAAACCACTTTGAGCAGCAAAGGGAATCCCCTGGGTGGAAGATAAGTGAACAGGAGGAGAGAGACTCAAAGAAGACGGGGGGAGGAGGGGGAATAAAAGAGACAACGATTGGACGGAAGATAGAAGATATCCGAGTAGATTTTACAAAAACCTCTCCTTGTGTGAAACAGCAGGCGGAAAGTCTCATTTTGGAGGAGAACATTAGAATGTGCACAGCAGGGGGGACAAGGAGAAAATGGGAGCAGGACGGATATGAAAATTGAGAGAAGAAGAAAATGAGAGCTAAATAGATGAAGGGAGTTGACAAACAGAGAAAGCTTCTCCTCATTACAGGTAGATTTGATGGAGTTAATCCACTCCCTAGTCCCTGGGGGTAAACAATAACTCTACTCTGCATAGTGGGCTGCATCTTAAGGCTTCATTAATTCATTTTGTAGGAAGAACAGGCAAGAAGGAGAAGGAAAAATTGAAAAGAAAAAAGATCACATCTCTGCATGAGGAGTGTGCGGGATGGGGACAACAAAGACACTTTCTTTGAGATGAGTGTTTCTCGGTGCACTACAGCTTCTGAGTCGCGGGCCGAGCCCATCTACAATTCTAATCAGCATCTTGACGAAGAGCTTGGTACCACACGGGAGGGGAGGGAAAAAGGGCCCCGTCGTACCTAATACTGAGTGTGACGAGTGCGAGCAGAGATAGAAAACAGAGATGGAGATGAATGTGAAAGCAGCTAAGAGAGCTGAGCTGAAGAGCGCTGGCATTTGAAGTAGTGGAGTGTTGAAACGCGGCTGACGGATTCATTAAAAAACTGAAATCCAAACTATTATTCAGAGTATTAATCTAAGGCTGGTTTGTATTGACAGTAAGCACAGAGTCATTCATGTATCCTCTTTGGTGATATGAAAAGAAGAAAAAAAGTTTGAAGCTCAAAGTGAAGACGTGGAGGGGCTGATATGTCGGATTATCTCGGGGAGTTGCTGCACCTTTATCAATCCTGACTCCAAAATAAAACTTCTTCTGCTTGTCTTCCATCAATAGACACACAAGGAAACATCTTCTTCTTACTTCCACTTCCTTAACCAACCGAATGGCATAAAAACTATCCTGCCTGCATCTTGGACTTCTTCTAAACAATGAAAAATAAACATAACAATTATACTCTTTTTAAACCTTCCTTATGACCTGGCTCCTCCCAGCAGACACATTGCCTCCTGTGCTGTTGCTCTGGTTAACTCTGGTTGACATCGACATGCTGACGTCTGAATAATGCCGTTGACTTTGATGATGTGATCAGATATTTTAGAAGGTTTCTTTTGGGTCTTTTTCAGCCTTTGTTGTAGAGACAGGACAGTGGATAGAGTCGGAAATCAGGTAGAGCGAGAGAGTGGGGAATGTGGAGAAAAGAACCACAGGACGGATCTGAACCTGGGCCGTACGCTTGGAGGACTATAGCCTCCGCTTGCGCATTAACCACTGCACCACCAGCGCCCTTATTTATTCACATATGGACCTTGGTAGGCTGTAAAAGTGAATAACACTTCTAGGATAAATAGTCAAAACAGCTCCGTCAGCATGAGAGCTCATCTCCTGACGAAGCAAAGGTGCAGACCGCTTTCTTGTTTTGTGTCTTCATATTCAGACACAGAGACGCAAACTGCACAGAACAGGGGAACGTTTTGGGCATGTTTGCACTTGATTATCATTAGTGCTGCAGATACAGCAGATAGCTGTAGCATATGATGCACAATTTACGGAGCTATTAGCGGCCACATTCAATTCTTAGTGAATCAGGAGTGTTATTACAAGATAAAAAGTCAGTTCTGTTCCGGCACAGCCTTTCTTATTTGATCATAAAACACGAGCACTCATCTGGTTCCCTTCAAGACAACTCTCACAAACCTCAGAAGAAATGTCTAACATCTGGTACATGATGTCGAATTTGCCATGAATAATTTTTTAAGGAAGTTATTTTGCTTCTGAACACCAAAACTGCGAGGCTATTTTAATGCTTTGCCATTGAATGTCTCTGCTACGCATTTCCGACTTTTATTTGAGGTAAGGCTGCTCAGATATGACCTAATTAGGCAAGATCTTTGATCCAGCCATTATTCTCATCTTCCTCCTCAGTGTGTGGACCTCTCACACACACCTCTATCTCTCTCGTGATATTCTCTCTTAGACCATCAGCAGTTCATGCAGTTAGTGCTGTGAGGTGTCCAGGTAATATATATAAACCTCTAATATATCCTTACCGTCTCCCCCAGCTGCCTGGGGATCCCGACGTAGAGGTGGTCCAGGAAGTTAGCGCTGCGTCCAAGTCCCAGCACGGTGTAGGGCAACTGCAGGGAGAAGTGAGCTGACTGACTCAGCTGACCGGCTGCAGGAGGGGAAGGAGAGAAAAACACATTTTAATGTCATTAAAGGGATGTGTGTGTTTCAGCACTCTCAGGGTATTCAATACTAATGATGCATTTTGCTTCTATAACATGTTGATCGATTTACATAACATTTAGCACAGGAGGATGAATCCAGCAAACTTTATTCTATAAGAAATGTATAGATCATTGTGATGAATAATTTACACCATATGTTATGTCCACTTGCCATATGTCTCCATGATTGTATCGATCTATTAAACCAATGTTTAGAATGTCTTTGAAGATGGTTTAGTAGTTGTTTGGTTGTGGATAGTAACTTCTTTCTAACGTTTTTGTGTCTGCCCCCAACCTTTGTATGTATTGCATTAAAGAAATCATCTGATCTGAATAAACAAACAATCAAGATTAGCTTGCCTTGCACATAACTAGACCATTCTGAACACATTAGCATCATCCAGCTTCAACATAATTTGTGTCAACAGCTCTCTCTGTCTCTTGCTCTCTCTAACTCGCCTCGGTGCTGCTGAGAGAACAACAGCTGTACAGTAATCACTTGTTGCTACTTTTCAACTATTTCCAGATGTATACTGATCAGCTGTCAGTGTTTCTGTCCTTTGAGGTCAGACATGACCAGCTGAATGAAACAGACAGTTACAGGGACAGCAGTTGGCATGTGGACTTGGTGGTGCATCATTTGGTGGGCGGGGCTTGGCAGAGTAGTACGAGGTAGCAGAGAGAGAGGGTTTTTTTTTTCCATTGCAATGATCATATCGTGTTCTGCCACTTTAAAATAATCTGAACTGAACCAAACAATTCTTAGAGTTAAGCTACAATCAAACTGAGTCAATGAGTGGGGTTTCAGACTACGAGTCTTATTTGGGAGTTTGGCTAATCATCTGTTTTTTTCTATTGCATTTTGGCACAGACCACAACCTTTTACTGCAGACTGAGTGATGCCAATACTTTTCTACATTTTATGTGTGACTCTTTTTTTTGCTTGCTCTCAACTTATCAGAAAAAACTGCCCTGTCATATCCTCCAGTTAATCACCCACAGTCCTCCAAAGGGATACAAATCAGAATAAATTAAGATGTTGTGCGATGCAAAAATTCATACTTTTTCTCTGTATGATTAAAAGGACAGTGCATTGATGATTGTTTTAACCCCCAGCCATGCTTGTCTCAGAGTTTGGCAAGTTTTCCTTGCGCATTTAGTTTTGCTTTTCTGCTTGTATTGATTATTTGAAAACTTTTTCATACATACTGTACATTTAATAAACTAAAGGCTGTCAATCGATTAGATTTTTAATCACAATTAATTGGCAAATTTCAATAGTTAATTGTGACTATCCCATGTTTGAAATTCCATTATTTTGCATTTAAAAATACAATTTGTTAGGCTTTTATTTTGAAATTTCTAGCTTTCTTAAGCAGAGAGAACTTTACTTTATGTCTGAATTTAAGCCCACTTTTATTTTGAAATAAAGAAAGGACCTTCTGGTAGATCGAAGATCACGACATTAACTTAACAACGGAAAAAGAAACTTGCTATGGATCAAACACTGAATAAAAACAACTCAAAGGAATGGTAGCAAAGGTAAATGTTTGATGTCATAAAGTGGATATCTATTATATCGATATATATTTTACTTCTATATAATAAATATAATTTCTTATGCTACCCAGCCGACAGCTCAACGTTGCACATGTTCAGTCCTGACTTTCTGCTCAACACAGCTGATTAAATTGCAGCTGTGCATGTTAACATAGTGGATCTTATGCTACTGTAGCTGCTATGCTGCTCGCTACTTTCCCAAAGTGATCATTAAAGTTTGATGTAAAGTAATCAGCTTTGACCTGACCCATTCTGACCATGAGTGTCAGTGATAAAACTAAAACGTTCAAGTAAACACACAAGAGGAAGCGATGGAGCTGGGGGGACTGCAGTGTGAGACCTTGTGTTCTGACATGAACACGCATCATAAAAGATACAAATCAGAGTGAGACACCTGAGGCCAGTCCAACACCCCCCCCTCCCCCATCTCCTCACGTAACCTCCCCCCTCCTCCTCAAATCCTTCCCTCCTGACTTACTATTCTCATCCGTCCCTCAGCATCTCATTTCCTCCTCTGCTCATCCCTCTCTTGCCTCCCGTGATACATCATTTCGATTTGGCCTTACTCATTTCAGCTTCTCCTTCTTCTTCTCCTCCCTTCTGCTCTCTCCCCTTCAAGCTGCTGTATCTCGCCCACGCCACCCAACTCTGCCAAGTGCAGCCGACATAAATCAACCTCTACGTGGTAAACAAAGAGAGGGAAGGAGCTGGAGAGAGAGGGATGGGAGCAGAGATGGAAGGCCTGGAGGCAGCCAGTGATCAGAACTAATGTGGATAGACTGCGTATTGCAGGCAGAGAGCACAACAGCTTTGCCTTTTCTCTTTATTTTTTTAATCTGTGCCTAACCTCGGCTCAGTTTTGTAGAAGAGATTTTTTCAGTTCATTTCCGACCACCTCAGCTGAACCTGGGTCACGACGGTCGATGTCTCAATGCAGCTCAGTATTTCTAATCTTTCCTCTTTCATACTGCACAAGACAAAGCTTACATTTAAACTCTGAAACATCAGATGAAGAGGTACAAATGAATCAGCCAGTTGAAGAAAGTATGTCATAAATCCGGCTTGAACCAGTAATTCTCTAGAATAGTGTAATAAACGCCCGTCCATGATGCTGTAACGTATATTCTGTGGCTCTGATAAACCTGAACGCTGAATAGACACATCGACTTTTACCCTTTCATCTCTACTGTCTCTCTTCTTTTTTTTCACTCGCTTGCTATCTCTCTATGTTTTCCTTTTTCTGAGCGTTTTTTAGTGCTGGGCTGTGCTGGTGTAAAGAGGCAGCTTAATTGCCTTAATGGCACTCTGGATTCAGTGTAAGAGACAGAAATATTGGCTGTTTCCAGGGAGAGATGGGTGCAGTTTCATGGACACTGACTTGTTCAGGGTGGTACAAAGCCCCGGCTTCTAACAGCCGGGGCTTCTGTGGTGTCTGACATTTACTGAAAAGGGACTGTATGTGTGTGTGTGTGTTCCTGTATAAGAAATGTACCAGATCAGTAAAGAGGAAAAGCTGTGGGGATTATGTACTAGATGATGATCAAGTTAGTTCTCTGAAACATTATAAAGACAACAGGTGAGCGAGTGACTTTTGGACAAATACTGTCATTTTTTAGCCATGCTTCCAGCCATAATTTAATAATAATAACAAAAAGTGCTGCATGGTGGCACAGTCCTCATAGCAAGAAGGTTCCTGGTTTGAATCACTCCATTGCATGTAGATGTGAGAGTGAGCATGAAGATTTGTCTGTGTCTACATGTCAGCTCTGTGATTGAATGGCGACCAGTCCAGGGTGTCCCCCCACCCCTCACCCAATGACAGCTCAGAACATGCTCCAGCTGCCCCGTGGTCATGAACACGATAAGCAGTATAGATAATGGATGGATGATAATAAAACGTATAGATAGATAGATAGATAGATACAAATAATCAAAACAAGAACCTAGTTAACAACAAAATGACTGAAAATCAGAAATGTCGAACAGTAGGGTTGCTAAATGAGATCCAATATGTACAAAAACAGCAAACAAAGACCTCCACAAAAAAATACAGATATGAAGGCCCCTGCTATCCAAAAGCCATTATAAAACAGTGGGGTCTTTAGCGTTTTTCATTAACAGCTAACAGATTCAGCTGATTTCACAGCAGGGGGAGTGAGATACTGCAAAGGTTCACCCCCATAAATATGACAGAGTGGCAGTATGCTAAAATGGAAACCTGGGTGTCTTTGTTATTGATGTCATTCAATTGTTATCCACACCAACAGCTCTGTTAAAAAAAAGACATTTTAACAAAAAAGTATTGTTATAAATCATACCGTAAGTTTCAAGGTGACTTTTAGTCTGATAGAGTAAACAGTTTGCGTATTCTAAAATAGTTTGTAAAAATACACAAAGCCCATTGTTCAAAACCTGCAGACAGACGTCATCTCCTGGCCAGCGCCATGCACAGCCTGACAAAAATTGAATCATAGGGGAACAGAAACAGGGGGGAGGCTGTCATATCTGCACATTACTAAAACTGTGAGGGAACTTTTCATGGGTCTCCATCAAAGCATTACTTTCTGTACCTTTTTTTAAACAAAGGCATGTAAAACAAGTAGAACGTAAAGAGCTTTGCATAGAGCAAGCCTACATAACCTCTATTCCCCAGCGGCCTCAACTCACAGAAGACAAAATAGAACATAATTCAGCCAGAAACTGTTCAGAAAGAAAGGCAGCATATTTGAGCTGCAGGGATTCTTTTTTGCATGTATAAAGTTCTGCATAAAAACTGAATGTGGGTTAGGAAAGTCAGGCTGACACAGTTTCTGGATTTGACCATAAACTGTTTAACATAGACAAGGTCTCAGTGATGTCACCTGTTGGTTTTTGAAGAGCCAAAAGATGACGGTGGCCATATTGGAAATACAAACTCCAACTAACATTCGGTCAATCGATAAACAGGGCAGGCGCTAAGCTTCCTGGTAAACGACTACAACGCACACACCTGTCAGTCAAATCAACCTTGCCCATATTTATGCACATGTATGCAAAACTCTAATCCTAATATAATCAAAACAGATCTGTTGCAAAAGAGACATTTTATTATATATTTTACCATAAAGAAATTAGCTTATATAATGCATATAATTTTTTGTTCCAGGCAGTGAAAACAGTGTATTTCTGCTGTTAAAATGGGCATTTGAATATTGGACCCTAATGGGCATTCCCTGCATACCACTAATGAAACACTAGACTAACAGAGAACTGACTGTCCCCCACAGTTTCACTTTGAGGTGGATCCATCAGGGGAAGCAGTTTTAAATCAGTCCACTGAGCCCCGTCCAGCGGCCTTTTTTTTGAGGGGACTGGACCTTTAAGCCAATGTTGGTTTGAACTTTTG